CTTCCTCCCAAATTCATGTCCTTTTCTCTCTATGTGTGTGCAGAAGCATGAAAACTAGTTGACGGTTCATAAACTGTCATATGGATATACCACACAATAGAAGTCTCATGCTCTAGCAGTTTTTAAAAGTTAATTTATAATTCATTCAGCTTTCTATAAATATTTGGAGACAATCAAATTGCATGAGTGTAATTATGACTGTATAAAATAATGGATGGATCTCCTGTTCTTTAAGCTTATCCTGGATATGATCCCAAAACAGCTAAACTATGTTGCTGCTGCAATCCATCAAGACCAGCAGAGACAGTTGACCTATAATATACCCTAAGTGTTGTTTGGCCTTGAAGACCTGCAAGACTGAAGCAACTATGCACCTTCCCTTGAGTATGCTTTGATAGAGCAGTTGTATAGTTTTTTGGGCTTACTTGTTGAACCCCAGATGTATATCTGGTTGCCTGCTCTTAAGTAGAAAAAAATGAAGGGGTATTCAGCTAAATGTGAGTAATTGGTGGACATCATTATTACATTTTCCGATCTGAAACATTCATAGGAATATAGAATGAGAAGAAGATTGGAAGGAGTTTGGAGATCTTGTATTCCTTGCTCCATGTAGGGATATTTTAATCCTTAACTTTGTCTACTGAATTGTACTATTCAACAATAAAAACCAGTAGATAGAAACTGAATAAACAATATGAAGAGGTCTGCAGGTAGCTTCTTTATCCTTTTGATGGACTTTGAAAATGAATGAGTGGATAATGAAGGATGAAAAGGATTAAAAAAAGGAAAGCTCTGATCTCTTCTCTTGGGATTTCCAAGCAACCTAATATGAAATGCTTGTTTATAGTTACTAATATGATCCCTATACTTAATACTTTGTAGATTTCTTTAGCATTGCAGAAAATGTATATTAATACCATAATATAAGAACAAACCTCTGAGAACAGAGTTAGTGTATATCCATTACAATCCATAGGCTATCTGGAGTCTATACCTTAAGTGACTTTTCCTGGTGACTTGCTCAGTGTGAACATTCGAGTTCTGTGTATTGCAGTACACTCATAGTTAGACCTTCCCATGCTACACTTTCTTATTTTTTCAGTGTACAGCACTGATATCTATAACATATACATGAGATGTGCTGTATATGCGCCATAGAATATGAACCAGCCCCTAGATACAACTAATTAATGTACAAAAACCCATACAAAGAGCTCAACACATTTTGCATAGCAGACCCTTCACCTTCCCCTCACACACTAGGAATGTGCATAGAGGAGGAAAATAAAAAAGTCAACATGGCGATCACAACTACAGGTTAATGACAGTAATTGGGACTGGAAACTCTTTTGCTAAGTGACATGGCTACAACATGGAATCACCATTTGCAACTTCCTGTGAACTTTCCATTGACTTTGCTTGTTGGAAGCTGGCAAGGAATGCCAATCACATGAATGAAGGATGCTGCAACTGTCATAATTGCGAGCCAATTGCTAAGCGCATAAATCATGATCATGTGTCTGCAGTGACCGCAATTCCGAAGATTTGTGTAATTTCCCTTGTTTAACACTGTCATAATTTTAAACAGCTGCTAAATGAATGATCATTAACCAAGGACTACTTGAATGTAATCAAAGCCAGATCCCTATTTAGCCACCATCTTGATGTTTTGACTGCTCTTTGCAGATAGTTCTGATCACATTTATAACTTACTGTAACTCCAACAGTTTTCAAATCAAAAGGATCATGTTGAAACTTTTGAAATTGGTTTAGATGCAGATTTGACATCAAAAGCTAACTGATACAGATGGCCTCAGTTACCTGAAAATAGGAAAGATACAACACTGTGATATTGTCAATACTCCTGAATGCCTTGGCACAGTGGTTCTCAACCTTTCTAATGCCGTGACCCCATAATACAGTTCCCCATGTTGTGGTGACCCCCAAGTGGGTGTGGCCACCAATAAGAGGGAGTAGGACAGCTAGGGAAAAGGGGAAAAAATGGCGGACAGCGTGGTTTGGCGACCCCCGTGAAATGGTCATTTGACCCCAAATGGGGTCCCGACCCACAGGTTGAGAACCACTGCCTTGGCAGATCATTATAATTTATAACAGTACTATAATTGGATAGTGTTGGGCTTTAAGGTTTATTGAATGTGGTCTAGATAGCAGATTGCAGACCACAGGGCCTCTGAAACTGCCAGCCACTGTTAGTGAAACATCAGGAAATCTGTTGCTTAGACCACAGTCACTAAACCCTGAAGCCCAACAATATGGCCATGAAAGCCTATACCAATATACTGACTCTAACTTCTTGTTTGACAACATGGGGAAAGCTAAGAGTTCTCTGTTGGCTGGTTATCCTCTGAGTCCAATTTGGGATGCTCATGATAATGTTTAAAGCCTTAAAAACTTAGACTCAACTACTTACAATCTGTCTCCCTCTTGAAGACTATCCTGCTGCTACTGATTCCTTGGCTGCCTCAGTTCTAATCCTCTCTTAAAGAAGTTATGTATGGATGCCCAGATATTCCAAGAATTCCCACAGAGATATTAAGAATAATAACCCCTGTTTTTCTTTAATGAAGCTAACAGATCACAAAATAAATTTGGGTGGTGGTGGTTGTGTCAGCATTTGTCCAGTTTGAAATCCTCCCCATATCTACAATATGTTTCCATCTTGTTTCTTTTCAATATTGCATTGAATGAAGATTTTACTTTTGAAAGCTTATCTGGAAAACCTAAACAAAAATATTATTCTCCAAAGATTTTGGTTCATTCTTCTACTGATCATTCATCTTTATTATTCCACATCTATTTGTTATTTGAAATGGACCATATAAGCCTTCACATTTTTCCCACTGAGGAAAAGGTAGTCTAGGAAATGGAACAAACATTTCCCTAAACTCTCAACATTTCAGCTATTAAAAAAAATCTTCAAAATTTTAAAAATAATACTTTTGTCTTATTTGCTAAATGGCAAGTGCAAGGACTTCTTTAAATGAAGAACTATAGTAGTCAACTCAGCGTATAGCCTAAATATACAGTATATTTAATCTCATGTCCTCAACATACCCAAAAATCTAGCATGAATTATTAAGGTGCTGAAGTGTCATTTATTCACTGTACTCTGAAGTAACTTTCAGCCATGTCTTCCATAGTTCAATTCAATTATTGTTGCACTAAGCACAGAGATATGTGACACAAGTCTGCTCTGCCAAAGCCAATTAATTTGTGTTGTTTTCTACTGTTTACCCTCTTTAGTCTCATATCCTATAATAGACATAGCATTATTGAATTTTTCATTTTAGGATTTCTAGATGAAATTCAGGGTGCTATATTTGAGCAAATTCTAAGGCACTCTCTATTAGACTATCCAAGATGCAATTTCAGAAAAGTTACAATTCTCATTTTAATATTAGGGCATACTTATTTTGGATTTGAACAAGTGTTCACTGAAATGAACAAAAGTAGCTCATAAGAATACTTGACAAACTGTGTATTTTGTAAATGGTGTAAGTTATATTTGATTTATGTAGAAAATTATTCCCTTGGTGTTTAATCTTAAGCTTTTTCAATCATGGCAAATTCCTTGTATTTCTAACTTTTCCATTTAGAAAGTATATTATACATATAGTTTACATATAGGAAAAAAATGTCATACAGCTCAATTTCTTTGTGAATAAATGGTGCACTTATGATTTGTTTAGATTTTTAAAATATGTCTATGTAGGAAACTCGCCACTTTTGAAATGGTCTCAGAAATTTCTTTGAGAATAAGAGATCCACTCAGGCTAAACCTGTTTTGATTATCCTCATGCTTAACTAATATGTTACATACAGATAAATTGTCCTGACCATTAATTCATTAATAATTTGATTTTTATATATTACTTCATATTTTACTGAAATTCAAGAGTTGCTCAAAACTGAAAAAAGTCATTGCAAAGCATGTAAACCTTCAAGAAGTAGATATCAATGTGATCTTTTATCTGAAATGTAAGCTTTGTTTAGCGTGTTGCTTTTTTCTTGCTAGTTTATTTTCTGCAATAATAATTATGCTTTTTTCTTGCTAGTTTATTTTCTGCAATAATAATTATGCGAGGAATAGAACCAAAACTGAGACTTGTACTGTATTATTAGATAGCAACAGAACATGCAGTCTTTCAGAGCATTCTTAATCATTTAAAATGTATTTGTGTACACTGAAAAACTGTTCTCTGAATTCTGTCTTTAATGTGCACTGCAGTTAAACTACTTGTTTTCTCTCTGCCTGCTCTTTGGAGATGCCAATTAGGAATAATGGGAAACAAGGGGTAGGCTAAGCATTGCAGTGCATTCTTGTTTACATCTGTGTGTGATTATTTCAGTGTAATGTTTTAAACCCTTTTGGCCCATTCATGCTCTCAATGACATTAATGAGGTTTTGCCATTAGCTTTAATGGGAACAAGACTGGGCTTTGCACTTTTCTTTTCTGTTGTGTTCATTACATTCTTTCTTGTTTGTGAACTGACTAGCCACTCATGCATGTGTTTGCCAGGTATGTTATTTGTGCTGTTCCATGAGGGGCTTCTTTCTCCTTATGTTTCAGGTTAAGTATTGGCAGTATGAAATAAAATAAGGGAGGAAAGGGGGATTCGGGGTAAAACTATTAGTCTGAGGCATTCACATCTTGCCTGAAATAAATAACTTGCATTAAGTTGTTCAAGATTTGCTTAAAGTAGTTATTAAATCAAACCATATCAGGTGTAGGCTTATGTTAACTTGTTCAATGTGATTTTTCCAGGAAGACATTTTCTTTCTAGAACTTAGAATTACGGTCTCACCCCTCCCCAAATAATGGGATATTGAAGGAAAATATTTTTGACCAATAGCAAGAACATGTCACCAAATTACAGAATACCTAGTAATCCTTTTGTTATACAGAGTTTAGCAGTAAAGTATAGCACAATAAATTAGGGGGAAAGGCTAGTGATTTATTTATTTTTTAATTTAACAGGCTCACGAAGCTGAGGAAGAAGCTCGGAAGAATCCTGAATTTGCTGATCGAATGAAGCAGCTTGACAAAGAGGCTTCCTACTATAGGGAGGAATGTGGTAAAACCCAAGCCGAAGTGGACAGGCTCTTAGAAATCCTCAAAGAAGTAGAGAATGAAAAAAATGACAAAGATAAGAAAATTGCTGAGCTGGAAAGGTACATTTCTTATTGTCTGTGTTTTCTCATAAATACATCCTATATTTCTATTTAATGAAAAGAAATAGCAAAATGTATCATGGTGGTAGGCAAATGAAATAGAACAGCACTATACATGATACGACAGAGTTCCAGGAAAATCTGGTTCTGTGTAAATCATTTGTCCAAGTTCTTTTGAAGATGCAGTACGATAATAAAGTCTCAGCTCCTTTATAGAGAAAGTTTGCCTTACCAACATAACCAGGGATTGGGTGGGGTGGGGAGACTGCATTAACTTTTTTTTTCTTTTTTGCAAAATTGAAGAAGAGAGAGAAAAAATGTAATGTGATACAACATGAAAATAATATGGAAATCAGACTTCGTTGAAAGAAACTGGGATGTAATAAGAATAACGTAAAACTAAAAAAACCCAATAAAATAAAATAAAATAGAAACGGTACAATAAAATGTTATGAATATAAAATTATTTAAAAGTTAACATAATATTTGTAGTATTTGTAATACTTGATAATTTGAAAAGTTGTATTTTGCATAAAAGGATTGGGTTATGATTGTGTCAATGAGGCCATCTTAAATCAACATAATCTACAATGTGTTAACAAAAGTGCTGTATTCTAGCCCACAAATAAAATTAGATTTTTACAAATTGGAAAGGATTGTATAAAAAGTATGAGTAACAACATTTATTTATTTTGCTTTATTTGGCTAATACATCTATTTGGATATAATAAATATACAGACCTCCCTAGTAATTGTCTTACAACTGGTAATTACTGCAGTATTAAAGCCTCAAATCTCTAGCATCAAAATGGTCTAGATGTTGAAACTAGATGTTGCAACTAATCTTGGAATATAAAGGGTGTCCAGCTATAACAACAACAAAATTTGGCATAATATTTCCAGAATCAGTGAATAAAGAGCTAGTTTTCATTTCATTCATATATATATATATCTGTCTGAAAAACTTCATATATATATATATATATATATATATATATATATATATATATATATATATATATATATGTAGGTCTTTACTTGTTTGGGTTTTCTCCCGCGTAAAATTGGAAGTGTCTTGGCGACGTTTTGACGAAGTCCCATTCGTCATCTTCAGGCTGGTGTTTTCAGCTTCGTGCTTCGAGGAGCAATGTGTGATCGTAGCTGTTTCTTCCTTTTAACTGCCAGTGGGGGTATGAACTGATTGGATGGGAGCTTGGCTGTGTTCTGATTGGATGGAGGTGTGTTCTGATTGGTTAGGAGCTTGGCTGTGCTCTGATTGGCTGGGGGTTGGCTGTGCTCTGATTGGCTGGGGGAGTGTTCTGTTTGGGTGGGGGCTTTGTTGTGCTCAGGTTAGTCTGAGTTGCCGGGGGGTTAAAATGGTGAGCTGCATTGCTATTTTTTGGCTTCGTGGTCGTGCCTCATCTTCATGGTGGGTGTCAGTTTGCTTCATGTATGGATTGGAGGGGTTTAAAGTGGCTAATGATGCAGCTGTGGTCTGGCTTCTGGTTTTGGTCGTGCCTCATCATCGGTGTGGCTTTGGGTTTGCTTTTTGCATGGATGTGTGGTGGTGACATCCTGTGTGGTTTTTGTGAGTGTGGGTCTGGTATCATTTTTTGTGTTAGGGAGTCGTTTGTCAATAAGGGCGGGTTTCCAAATGGCTGGTAGGCGGGAGGTATCATCTCGCTTGTTCATGCTGTGTGGGCGTTTTTCTATCTCGATGGCTTCTCTGATTATTCTGTTATTAAAATGTTCACTTTTGGCAATGGTTCTGGTATTTTTAAAGTCAATTTCATGTCCTGTGGCTTTAAGGTGTTGGACCAGGGAAGATGTTGGTTCCTCTTTTTTGACTGAGTTCTTATGTTCTTCAATGCGTGCACTTATTCTTCTGTTGGTTTGTCCGATGTATGTGGTGGGACAAGTGGTGCATGGGATTTCGTATACTCCTTGATTTTCTAATTCAATTTTATCTTTGGAGTTTCTAAGGATGGTGGATATTTTTCTGTTTGTGCAGAATGTGTTTTGACTTACTGATTCTGTCTGTGGTGCCTTTTATGTATGGGAGGAGGGCTTTGCCTGTTTTCTTGTTCTTTGTCTTGGATTTTAGTGGGGGTTTCTTTTTGGATTAGGTTTGTAATCTTATTTCTTTGGAATCCATTGGATGTTAGTACATTGGTGAGAGTGTGTAGTTCGGTTTTTAGGTGTTGTTCGTCAGCTAAGCGTTTTGTTCTGGAGATGAGTGTCTTGGCTACAGAGTTGATCTGTGCTGGGTGGTGGTGTGAGAGAGCGTGCAGATAACGGTTTGTGTGTGTTTTCTTCTGGTAGATGGTGTGTCCTAGGGAGCCATTGGATTTCTTGTAGACTAAGACATCCAGGAAGGGAAGTTGGTTGTTAGCTTCTGTTTCCATGGTGAACTGTATTTTGGGGTGTAGGCTGTTGAGGTGTGTGAGGAAGTTGTCCAGTTTTTCTTTCCCATGTGGCCAGATTATGAAGGTGGGAAAGAAAAACTGGACAACTTCCTCACACACCTCAACAGCCTACACCCCAAAATACAGTTCACCATGGAAACAGAAGCTAACAACCAACTTCCCTTCCTGGATGTCTTAGTCTACAAGAAATCCAATGGCTCCCTAGGACACACCATCTACCAGAAGAAAACACACACAAACCTCTATCTGCACACTCTCTCACACCATATAAAATTTGGATTGCTAGCAAAGAATCAAGGGAGAACCGGAATAGCTATTTCGAACTTATATATCTATAAAAGAATAAAACACGATCACCGGGAGAGTTGAAGTAAAAATACTTCACTAAAAATATATTAATACTAAAAAGTTGCCAAGCTTTCGCTGGGGGAACTCCCCAGCATCATCAGGGCTAAAAGGCCATTGCAGTAAAGGTGGTTTAAGTAGGTTCAAGTAACGTTTGCGCACGGCTCTTAGACCGTGTTAGTGGCCCTGATTGGCCAGCTGAAAGCCAAGATGTGTCTATAACGTTATGTTCTTTTCTTCGGATGCCCTTCCCTATCCCTCCACTATTGGTCTTTAGAGGCGTTAGTAACCTTACATCCCCTCCTCTTCCGATAATACCAACGTCTGCCATGTCGGGGGGAGGACTTGATCTGATGTTTTCTTGTGTTTTACAATGGGGATAGGGCTACACTAATTGTGGGTTAATATCCCTTCCCAATTGTGTGTCTCTCTCCTCCTTTGTCATGTTAACAGCTCCTATCCGGGTATGGTATGCCTCAACAATCAAGTCTTTATTCCCCACCTCAGTCTTCCTTACATATGTTCCCTCCCGTTGTTTGGCACTCAAACCGCTCTCATTACTCCTCCCCTTGCTGATTGAGCGGGTTGTCATTCTATGCTTTCTCCCCCCTCTCCACATGGGACGCTCCTCTTCATTGCTATGGGCAACCGCACACTCCGAGATTTTAGCATTAAGTCTTTTAGGTGTTCAGGCTCCATTAATATCGCTCCCTCCCTCCTGGGGGGGGTATGAGGCTCACATGGGGTTGTTGGGCGGTGCATGGATCATCCATATCGGGCACCCCCTCCCTTTCTTTCTCCGTGCGCGGGGAGTCCATAGCCTCTATTCCAGCGTCCACATGTTGGGGTGGGAGACTTTCTCGCCGCACGATCCAGCGCCGGTCACCTGGCAAAGGGGTGTTGATGGTATAGTTATTTATGTCCATATGCAGGCGTTTCCGACGGCGGGGGGATGCGGGTTCCTGTCCATAATGCCGCAGGTGTTGGTATGATTGCTTGCGATGTAATGAGTGATGATTTGTGTCCCATTTCCGCAGCGCTTGTTGCGCTGGATGCAAGTCAATGCGACGATTAATTGAGCTGTCATTCGAGAACCAGGCCTCTTTCAGTAGCCGGCCTCCCTTCATGGCATCACTAGCTATGATACAGGTATTAGCAAAGTCAAATTGATGGCCCTCCTGCGCCATATGCATCCAAAGTTGTGAGCGCTGCTCGCCCCGTTTTATAGCCAACTGGTGTTCATGGAGACGAGTCTTCAGGCGTTTGGCTGTTTCCCCTACATAGTTGGCAATTCTTATATATATATATATACTCCCTTGACTCAACTGGCAAAGAGGGAGGAGAGCCTGTGGCTTGGTGGTTAAATCACTGCCTAGTATGTAAACTGCCCAGGTTCGAATCCCATAAAGGGTGTGGCTAACTGAAGAGAGCAGAATGAGCTCGAAATGGCCATCTTAGTCTCCCAATTTAATTCTTTAATTCTTTGTCAGAAAAAGAAATTTGTATATATATATATATATATATATATATATATATATATATATATATACTGAGGTTTTCGCGGGTGTTTGTATGTAGGTCTTTGGTTATTTGGGTTTTCTCCCACGTCAAATTGGAAGTGTCTTGGGGAAGTGTCTCCTAGAAGCACGAAGCTGAAAACACCAGCCTGAAGATGACGAATGAGATTTTGTCAAAACGTCGCCAAGACACTTCCAATTTGACGCGGGAGAAAACCTGAATAACCAAAGACCTACACACAAACACACACACACACACACACACACATATATGTAGGTCTTTGGTTATTCGGATTTTCTCCCACGTCAAATTGGAAGTGTCTTGGTGACGTTTCGACGAAGTCCCATTCGTCATCTTCAGGCTGGTGTTTTCGGCTTCGTGCTTCTAGCAGCAATGTTATATATATATATACCAGATTGTATGTTCTCGGTAAGATCTCTGTATTTTTGAAATGAATCAGATTTATTGTGCCCGATCTTTAAACTGGTAGACCTCAGTATACGACCACAATTCAATGCAAAATATCTGTTTCTAAGTGAGACATGTGTTAAGTGAGTTTTGACCCATTTTGCAACCTTTCTTGCCACAGTTGTTAAGTGAATCACTGCAGTTTTTCAGTTAGCAACAAGATTGTTAAGTAAATCTGGCTTCCCCGTTGACTTTCCTTGCCAGAAGGTCACAAAAATTAGATCACATGACCTGGGACACTGC